AAAACGTTTTAGCTGGGTATTAATAAAACGTTTTAGCTGGGTATTAAAACGTTTTAGCTGGGTACTAAAAGTATTTTAGCTGGGTATTAAAAAAATATTTTATCTGGGTATTAATAAAATGTTTTAGCTGGGTATTAATAAAACGTTTTAGCTGGGTATTAATAAAACGTTTTAGCTGGGTATTAATAAAACGTTTTAGCTGGGTATTAATAAAACGTTTTAGCTGGGTATTAAGAAAACGTTTTAGCTGGGTATTAATAAAATATTTTAGCTGGGTATTAATAAAACATTTTAGCTGGGTATTAATAAAATGCAGTGATATAAAATACTTTTAGCTTAATCACATTTTATATTAAAAATAATCTGTAGCGCGTTTCCTAAATCGTATCAAGAACAACCGCAGACATGTTTTGCAGCTCAAAGCGTTGTCGTCTCAGAAGGTGTTTGACTGGCTGTGGTCACGTTCACGAGGCCGGCTGCATAAAGAAAAGGTTTGATTTGGACTTTTCCTTTTTGTTTGTGCTTAGATTTTCATCACAAACTGTCTTTTTTTATGCAGCGGAGTCTCAGAGCCCTTTGGCAAAGCAGGAAAAGGTTCTGGGTGTGGAGGTGTCTCCTCATGCCTCACCTGAAGGCCGGCAACAGAGAGGCGCCGGGCGTCGTTTATCGGAGCGACAACAGGAACCAGGTAGGGGCTATCAGGGATGTGCTGCTCGTTAAACTTCACAGAAATCTCATAATCACCTGGAAACAAGGTAAATGTAACGTGAATGAAGGCGCGGCGGGTCTCTTAAGGTCCACTTAAAGAACCATGTGTGCGTTATCTACCGGGCTCCTGAGCTATGTAAGAGATGCCGCAGGAACCGTCTTTCCGGTCGTCAAACGAGATCTCCGCCCTGCTGGGCCCCTCCACCGCCACGGACAGACCACCAGCGCCCGCCTCCCTCGTCCAGATGCTGAACTCAGCTGGAGTCAGAAAAACACAAACGGTTCAGTTTAGTTTTATCAGTTTTAAATTTTACGACAGATTTTCATTTTGAAAAACTGATTTCAGTCTGTAGGAGTTGATGTTTCTGGTTCAGGTGTACCTGGTTCTCCTGCCAGAGCTCCCTCCAGTCCTGGACCTCCTGCTCTCACTTTGTCAGGACCTCCCTCTCCCAGCGGTCCCACGGTGAACTGGAAGGGGCTGCCTGGCACGTGCACGCCCCTGTACCTCACGCTCACGCTGTGCACGCCCATCTCCGTAGGCACAAACCGCACGTAGTACGTGTCGTTGCCAGCGGCGACCAGCTCAGCCGGCCTCCTGGACCCGGACGGTGACGTAACCTCTGCTGTGATGTCCTGCATGTCCATGGCTGTGAAGGACAAAGGACAGGGTTTAATGTCCTGCATGTCCAAGTCTGTGAAGGACAAAGGACAGGGTTTAATGTCCTGCATGTCCATGGCTGTGAAGGACAAAGGACAGGGTTTAATGTCCTGCATGTCCATGGCTGTGAAGGACAGGGTTTAATGTCCTGCATGCCCATGGCAGTGAAGGACAAATGACAGGGTTTAATGTCCTGCATGTCCAAGTCTGTGAAGGACAAAGGACAGGGTTTAATGTCCTGCATGTCCATGGCTGTGAAGGACAGGGTTTAATGTCCTGCATGTCCAAGTCTGTGAAGGACAAAGGACAGGGTTTAATGTCCTGCATGTCCATGGCTGTGAAGGACAGGGTTTAATGTCCTGCATGTCCATGGCTGTGAAGGACAAAGGACAGGGTTTAATGTCCTGCATGTCCATGGCAGTGAAGGACAAATGACAGGGTTTAATGTCCTGCATGTCCATGGCTGTGAAGGACAAAGAACAGGGTTTAATGTCCTGCATGTCCATGGCTGTGAAGGACAAAGGACAGGGTTTAATGTCCTGCATGTCCATGGCTGTGAAGGACAGGGTTTAATGTCCTGCATGTCCATGGCAGTGAAGGACAAATGACAGGGTTTAATGTCCTGCATGTCCATGGCTGTGAAGGACAAAG